AAAAGGGATTGGAATAGAGTGAAGATATTGCCTAACATAGCCCTAGAAGTCACTATCTAAAGGACGTATCTGCGAGATAGGGACTTGAACGTCGTATGAATAGGACATATCTTTATTTTTTTCCGGTCCTGGTTCGGCCATGTTTGCGACGAGGCCCGGTCTCGAGGGAATATGCTTCAGATAGTGATTTCTGGGGTTATGTTCGGCAATATGGAAGCTATGTCGAGCCACATTAGGAGAACACGTTACCGTTAATTGACCTTATCTCTGCTTATCTCTGCTCCTGTTGAGCCGAATGTCCGACTTATCTTGCGCGATCTTGAGCTACCTTGAAAAAAGATACATCAAATTGCGACGTTCAAGTCCCTATCTTCCTTTCATACTGACTCCCTTGGCTCCAAGAGCACAAGAGCCCGTTCCAGATCGTGTTCCTTCCTGAAGCTCTCTCACCGCTTACCCGACCCGCAAAATGGCAGCAGTCTTTTAACACTCCAATTACGTTGGGCCATGTTAAATCCCTATCTCGAAATATGGAACCTATGCTCGGCCACGTTGGGGAGGGGGTGGGGGTCACTTCCGGGGCGATGTTCGGTGGAAATATTGGCCCCTTCCATGCGGTGCGGGCGGTTACCGTCGCGAAGCGATGTGAATAATCAAAAGGCAATCCCTGGTCCCTCGCTTTGGCAGGTATGCATACAACGGTAGTCGTCTAAGCCTATCAAGGGTGTGTTCAACGATCTGCTTGCATTGAATCCCAGCAATGATCTTGTTGACCGGATTCTAAAGATATATAGGTCGAAGAGCTTGAGGCATGTTGGGTGCCTTTTTAGGTTTGGAAAGGAGATGAATCCATCCTGTGGTCCAGTGGCCAGGGGAATGGATGGGACCATCAACCCAAGCTTGATGAAATTGCTGCATCAAGGGATCAATGAGATCCTCAGCAAAGTATTTCCATACTAGAGCTGGGATTCCATCAGGTGCCAAGGCCTTATGGCCAGGCAAGGCAATCAGCTCAACAAGAACACCCTGGGGAGACGTTCAAGGGAACGTGAAGGAAAGGCAAGAAGTTCCGGGGTCCGCAAACAAATCAATATAATATTTCTTAATGGCAAGAATTTCCTGAGTTGGCGTCAGAGGCATGCCATGATCGTCAAACAATTGAATCCTGCGGTTGGGCTGTTTGGGACAAAGGTGCCGGATTTTCCTATACCAATCAAAGGTCTTCCCATGAAGTGCGAGAGCAGCTCCATCTGAAAGGATCCTATCAAGCTTGGCTCGCTTATTAAGACGGCTTTGTTTACGAATGGCTTTCTGTGCAAAACATGGAATTGAGTTAGATTCGCCCAACACGTGAACAGGGCATGGATGCCTCGGTCACGAATAACAAGGATTTGTCGTCGTGCATTCCACATCCTGGCAGAAATCGAGGGGATCAGGGTGTGGGGTTGAACCTGGGTTTTCCTCTCGGGAAAGAATGCAATGCAAAGATCATAAATGGTTGTTTCCATCGAGCGGGTATTCGCCCGTGGAATCGAGTCATGGTGAGCGCCATGTTATTAGATATAATCACGGACCCTAGCCCCAAACCGTTGCCAATGGGGTGGGTTATCGAGTCGAGCCTGACGAATTAAAATCTATCTATATAATTAAGAGCAAAAATTGGTGTCCGAACAGCATATCCTTTGCGAATCACCGCAAACAGAGGGCGGTGATGAGGTCCAAAATGCCCAAAAATTCCTTTCAAACGCACGATCAATTGTGGGTTGCATACATCGAACCTGAGAACTTGAATACATCGAACCTAAGAACTTGAATCTGATGTTGTCGAACAAAAATATAATCGATTCGAGACCTATATATACCATATTCACAAGTAAGAATATATTGGTCTTTATAATGCAATGCAATCAAGTCCTGGGCGCGAAGGATCTGCTAAAGGATATCACAATCCGTATATAAGCCTCCTTAAGCCCGTTCATCCGGATTACCAATACAAGGCCGATCAAGAAATAGGATCGTATTAAAGTCTCCCATCAAACCCAGTATGTGATGCCGGGATATATAATTTAAAAAAAAAAAATAATAATAAAATACTTCCAAAGATGGATTCGTTTGGCCAGAAGTGGAGCAATACCTTTCTAAATATTCCAAGAATATTAATATAGAAGCAAATAATCATAAATCCAATCCAGGAAAAATCGAAATTAATTTAATCTTTCCTCAATATCGACCGTTAATGCAATCTAATCCTAATGCACCAAAAAATTACGAATAAAAATCAAGGTGGATGCATGTTTAGCAGCAAATCCAATGGTTAAATGGCGTTCCAATAAATAAATTCCTTATCAAGGATTTCGATGGGTTCCATATCATGCAATTAATGCCTAAAAAAAGAGTTAGCGTCTTCTTCAACGGCCGAATTATCCTTAGGCTAGGCTTTCGTAAAATCCAAATCTCGTTCGATACCGTAGAAGAAAATCAATAATCATACATATCAAAACGAAACCTCCAAAATAATCCTCGTGCCAACCATAAATTCCAAAATTACATTTAACATCCATGGTTCCTAAATGTAAGACCAAAAATCTTAATTTTTATATAGTGTTTATATAAAAAATATACCAAATTTATCCAATAAAAAAATCCATTTAATAATTTTTAAAAAAATATCAATAATATAAATTAAAAATCAATCAACGAATAATATTCAATATAAAAAGAAATTAAAATAACACCTATATTTTTATAATTTAAATAAATATATATTAATATATTTTATATAATTTATAAAATTTAAATAAATCATATATTTAAAAATAAATATAAATATATATATTTCAAATTACATATTATATAATTCAATATTAATAAGAATTAATAAATATTAATTAATTATTCGATATTATTATAAAAATTAATAAATATTAGCTAATCATTCGATATTTAAATATTAAATATCATAAAATATATATAAATATGTTTTAAATATATAAATATATAATATATAAATATTATAGAATTATATATATATAATTAAATCAATATTTACCTATATAAATATATATTTAATATCGATTAAAATTAAACGTCATTGTCAATTCGAATTTCGGCAGCCGTTTCTCGTGGATTCTCGCTTCATGAGGAGTCGGAACCGCGGTCTGTGAGAATGCTACATTGGTTGCCCTACTTTTGTCCTTGTTGTTGCTGGCAAGCCGGGTCCCAAGTCCGGGGGACATGAATCCTAATGCTCCGCCTTTTTATCCAGAGGATTCATTGTCCGGCGTGAGGGTTGCCATCCCCTCTTCACGGGATGGTGGAAGTGCAGTGCCACCTACTACAACCTCGAGAGCCTGCACAAAGGCCTGAAGTCTGGGCGATGTGTTGCATCCGTCTCGGATTCGCAGGATCAAAAGATCGTTTAGAAGGGCTTGCAAACGAGCGCTACAGGATGGTCAAACAGTTTATATACAGAGGCCAATGTTTTTGGGCTGCAGATGTCCCTTTCAGGCTACGTGGTACATTGAAGCAAGAACTACACCGAATTGCTTCTCCACCACCCCAAAGAGCGCAGTCCATGAATGGCTCTGCCTTGAAGATCCTTTCCTGGAACGCCTCGCGCAATTTGGATTACCACGAGTGGATAAGCTGGTGCAATGGATATCCTGCTGATCCAAGAATCAGGTTGGCAGTTGAACTGTCAATGGACCACCAATGTTTGGTATTGCATTCATTCCCAAGCGGCCTCCGCCAGCCAGTTGATTATGATACGCAAGACCTTGCTTCGTCCCTCACTTCTTGCTTACGCAGTCCTGATCCCTGGACGGTTGATTCATATTCGGCTCATGCTGGAAAGGGTCCATGACCTCTATACCGTCTACCAGACGGCTTGGAGTACTACCAGATCAGCACATGCCCTTCTTCACGATAGGCAGGACCTGTGGCAGAAATTGAGTCAGGATGTTCAACACACCCCCAATAGTCACATGTTGTTGATTGCTGGAGATTTTGACTGTCCACTCCAGGTTCATCCTCCATACATAGGCAGTTTTGATCCCAGGTATGCCAAGGCCCTCCAAACAGACAAACTGATCTTTCAACAACTTGTACAAGACCTTTCATTGATTGCCGTCCATTGCCGTCAGAAATATGTCCCAACCTTCCTCCATGGACACCGCCAAACTTGATTCTTCGTGAGGTTCAGGTCCGCTGGAAGCATCTCAGGGCTGTCGTAGATTGTAGGTTCGAACGCATTGGTCTCCATAATGGACCCCAACATAGGCCTTTGATTCTTAGTCTACCCAAATGGAACGCAGTTCGTAAGCCTCAGTCCAGTGTGCAACCCATCGATCGATTTCGATTGCGATAGGAGATGATCAACACCACTCCTAGGTGGCAGAAGTTTGCACAGGAAATTCAAAGTTGTTTCCTCAGATACCACGAGTCACCGTCCAGTGATCATCTACAGACTTGCCATTCCATGGAAACTGATATCCGTGCGTTGTGCATTGCACATTTTCCACTTAAGAAGCAGCTACCGTCTATGGATATACACATGAGGTCCCTGACTGCTCGTATGTGGTTTGCTAGACGCCAGCTCCGCATGGTGTTTATTATTAGTGTGAAAACCATGTTTCAGAGTTGGAGACATTCAATTACGTTCGCTAGAGTGCATGCACAGATTCGTAGGTATGGCCGACAGAACAAGCGCACAAAATTGCTTGGAAATAAGCGCGGCCGCGGGACCTTCCAGGTCCTTTCTTTGTTTTTCTCGATACGGACTTCGTTCGCCGTGCACTACAAGTTCACAATACTAAAATAGTTATTGCTTGTTTTCTGTTTTTATAGATAGATAGATGAATTTAGATTGTTATATATATATATACACAGATAGATGTAAATATTTATTTGTGCATTTATGTATTTAATCGTTATGTAGGGTGTAATTATTCTTTACAGATTATGTGAAATTGGTCGTGATAGGCGAAAGATTTGAATATGCCTTGGCATATATCGATCAATTTGGGGTGCAAACATGGGCGCTTGAATCTGTGCAAATAATGAACCTATGCAACACGCACATCCGCATAACGAACTATCTTACATCGAGGCTTGCAAAACACGTTATTCCACGATACAATCCAAACCTATTTCTTCTGCACTCCGGGAAGGGGCTTGCTGCTGCGTTGCTCCATAGGACTGAGGTCGGGTTGATGGAACTTTGCACCCCGGACCATCGTGCAAATTGCCTGCCAATAAAGTTTGCGAATCGGCGGCGGCTCCACACTTGCACTCACTGCTGTTTGGGTCCAAGGTGCATCAGCATTGCCGTTCAAAGGATGGAAAGCCTCTTCTTGGAAGGCCGACCTCCTTGTGTTTGTACGCAAGCTTCCGATGGCAAAGCCTTTAGAGTCCTACAAGTAAAAACAATTCCATGAAATTCTCGGTCCAATCGATCCTGTATTATCACAGTTTTAATACAGGGGCTATCACCACTGCCAGCTCCTCCAGTCTTTCAACTCTCAAGCCCAGTCGTGTGGCTGTTCGAAGAAATCCCAGAGTTGCCTTCTGAAGAGTTTCAAGTACACTGCAAAGTTTTTTCCAATCGCTGATCTCACATTGGCTCTTCTTCGCTTGGCTAGGCAGGCTGTCCGAGAAATCAAACAGAACCTGACGCCTAGAGCCTTCTCCAAAAGGATCAGGCAGTGCCTCGCACTTGTCGGGGTTGTGGTGGTTCGCCACATATGCTTCAGCTCCAATCCGCAAATGCTTCGCAAGTGCGTGGCAAAACATAGAGCCATCCTAAGTTGGAAAGCGAGTGCAGTGAGCCCGAGAACCCAAAAGCAGCGGAGTGCACAGTGCACTTACTTTGGCAGAGCAGAGAGAGGTGTGGCACAGTCAAGCGCCGGATAAAGTTCGACAAGACTGGCAACTATTTGCAACACCCACTGCACTCTGCGGCAGCCCCTTCCCAGCAGCCCCAACCTATTCCCCAGTAGCGGCCATTTCCACCAACGTTTCGAGCCCATTCAGCACATCTTGAGCGCCCGTTCTTTCAGGACAATCGCATTATTGATGAAGTGTGTCCTGAAAAAGCCCTTGAAGCTCTGCATCATCTACCACCTCTGCATGTTCGCGCTCGCTCTCTCCCGACCTCGGTCTCGCGTCTGTCTGCAGGTTCAACGACCACCTTCCGTGGCACGTGCCGCAAAGTACACGTCAAACCCTTTCCATCATCCTCCACAACATCCCTTGCGGTCTGCACGCCTTTGACCACCTCCCAGAGCCATCCTGCAAGGTATTACCACATCCAGAACATTTCAAACCCTTCCATCATCCTCCAACACCCGTTCCGCCAAATATTCTGCGGCCCGCGCGCCTTTCCACGGCTTCGCGACCACCGCCCTGGAAGGTATTACGACATTCCTAACAAAGCGCCTTCCGCAAGGTATTCGGCGTCCACCCTCCTGCGACGATGTTTCCTCGCTACACCAGAACCCAAGCATCAGAGATGCGTTTGGGCAAAATCACATAGAATGCATCCATCTTCAATTTGCTCTGCTAGAAAAGGCTGTGAAGTGGATGGATTGATGCAGTGTTGCGGGCGCTTGCTCGCATGCTTCCTACTGGATCTGGCCAAACTCAGTGGGCTGTGATCCTGGGTGCATTCCACTGATGGCCAGTGGTTGAGGGCAGCTTTGGATAATTTTTGGAGCACCGCCTATGAGGGCCAGCCCCGAGGACTCAATGATCTTCTAGTACAGTCTTCTAGTAGCAGGTGCTCAACCCAAGTCCCCCAAGCCCTCCCTGGGAACTTTTGTACTGGAGCCTTCAAGTGAGAGCACCGAAGTTGATCCCGGATTGTCAGTTTGTCTTCTTTGCTTTGGCTGCCATTTGCTTTCGGCCATCGTCATAAACCTTTGCCTTTGATTTACTTGCCAATATGCATGCTTCGAACAACCAACGCAATTGGTGAGTCCTGAAGCCCTAGGCCCTATAGGCCCTATAGGCCCTGTAGGCCCTAGGCCTGCTATCGATGCACCACAACCGATTATGAGACATCGCCTTGTGGCTCAAGTGGATCGAACGCGTTTTTGTTAAGTATGCCAAGTGGAACGAACCGCCGTTTCAATCTGTGCTTATTGAGCCAAGTGTATGTGTGTATCCATGACCTGGCCATGCAACATTCCTATAATCATAAGCAAAATTGTTGGACTTGTATGGTCTCGATGCCATTGACTGCTTGCATTCAGCCCCTTCCCCACCATCTATGCTGGAGCGTCCCTCCCTGGCAAGTGAAACGAAGCATAGAGTGTGTTCAAAAAGACTCGACGTCAAGTCTCTCAATGTGCAAGAAGGAACCAATTCCGAAGAAAATGTGTCACCTTGCAAACAAGGGTCGCCTTCGTATAGCACATCCTGACACAGCAAGCTGAATTCTTCAACGCTCAAGAAACCCAACTTGAGGCCGAGGGTAGGTGGCGAAAGCTAGCAGGGGTGCATCCGGACTGGTGGGACATCAAGCGGAGTGAGGCAAATGCTCATGAGGTAAAACGTTGTGAACATGTAAGACACACAAACAGCAATGACACAGCCAACCTTAGAATTGAAGTCCCCGATAATTAAGGAAGCGTGGCTGGACTTTGCCACACTGTTCGATGCATCCGATGTGTTCACGAACCTGTGAGCTCGTTGAATCTGTTGCACCGTATCCCGGAGGAGTTAAGCCAAAGTGGATGCCATAAGAGATGCCCGAGAGGTGTCCCAGAGGCGTCCGAGGGGGGAGTTGAACCCACGGGGGGGGGGCCCCCCTACATATGAAGTTTTCACGTGATGCGGCGATCCCGAGGATTCCAGCCCCTCACTTGCTAAAGCAAGGACAACTCCAGCTAGCTGGTGCTAGCTTTCGTGATGAATCGCATTTGATGCTCATCGTTGCTGATTCATCGTTGCTGAGTTGCTGCTGCGACCACCAAATCCGGCAGTTGCTGCATAAAGCTTTTGCCATCTGCCCAATCAAGGCAGAATGTCTGCACACGATCACTGAGATTGTTGGCCTGGCAGATCGAACGGCCGCAAACGCGCCGCCGCAGCGGCAAAAAGCGCCGCAAACGGGATCTACAGGATTCGGAACTGAGTTCCTCCTTGCTGGCCTTTTGGCATTTTTGGCCTAAGGCTCTAACCTCAATATTTTTCTTCATAAGAAGAAGCAGCTCAGGTTCATTGTCAGTGATGAACACAGGCTCCTGGAGGCCAGGAGCAAATATATAGTGTCCATCCAAAGCTGCAACAAACTGCCAATGAGTCCGAGATTGGTTCGATTCCACTGCGTCTTCAAAATCCCTTTGATCTCAATGCTGTCAAAGGACTGCACCCATCGATCCCAAGGTCAGACCGACCACACCAGTCCCGGCACCCAGCTCCAAACAAGACCGTCCTGCAAACATTGGATCATGAAGCAAGGCACTTGTTTCTAATAGCTTATTGTTTCTAATAGCGTCTTGTTACTACTAGTAAGGCACCTGTTACTACTAGTAAGGCACTTGTTTCTAATAGCTATCATTATATATATATAGTACAATCTATTCACAAATCTTTGTTCTCATGGAGTCATAGAATTTATACATCCAGCTGATCTTGCCATGTCCTTTGACGGGCGGGGCTGCAGAAGAAGTGGCAAAGAATTTTGAGAGCGCAAGGGCACCGGTCCACAGCAGGTTGCCATAGAGCACCTGCTCGAGACTGGAACAAAATCAATTGCTATAACTATAACAATTGAACTTTGTTCACACGTCATGTTCTTGTGGGGTTGCTGTTCCAAGCTGGTTCAGGATCTTTGAAACAAAGTTCTCCAAGACTTCAAGAACTGTTCCTGTTTGCCGCCTTGGCTTTGTGCGGACTCCCTTCGAAAATCACCACGCCCTCATCTGTACGTATTTCGGTGCCTAACCAAGCCCAAAATCAGCTTTGTTCAGTCTCTTCGGATGTGTCTAGCCGATGAAAGTGCGATTTCCTAATAGCGAACCTTGTTACTACTAGTAAGGCACTTGTTCCTAGTAGCGATGCACTTTGTTCCTAGTAGCTTCTTGTTACTACTAGTAAGGCACTTGTTCCTAGTAGCGATGCACTTTGTTCCTAGTAGCTTCTTGTTACTACTAGTAAGTAAGGCACTTGTTCCTAGTAGCGATGCACTTTGTTCCTAGTAGCTTCTTGTTACTACTAGTAAGGCACTTGTTACTAGAAGCGATGCACTTGTTACTAGTTTCACTGTGTTGCGACACTGCAGTAGAATCCATTGACCTGCCATTGGACGGCTGCACCGTTACACTGCATAGATCTGTGGAAAATCGGCAACTGAATTTGATCATGATTGCTCGGTCCAAGGCTACTGGAGCATGGTATTTACATGAATCAACTGCACGCTGAAAAACCATGAAAAAGCACTGCTTGCAGAATTGTCACACTTATCTGCTCCCGAAAAGGCCATTGGATGTTCAGTTGAAAGAAGCTGTGTCGAAGCTGTGTCGAATCGGTGTGGTGAGTGATGTTTGTGGTTTGAAGAGTCTGCGAGTACTTCCGCTTCACCGCATCCTTTGAACCAAAGCTGGCTCCTACAAAAGCCGGTTTGCAAGAAACAAAAAAGAGGACAAAAAAGTGGTTGCGCTTTGCCAAACCCCACCACACAAGTTCCTTTGGAGTGCAACCTTTTCACATGTTCAGATGTTCAAGTCCCAGGTTTCTGGGACACGAGCACTATGTGCAGTCATGGCTTCATGACAGCCATGCAAGGACCGGCTTCCCTAACCAGTCCTTGCGTGGCTTCCATAAAGACTGAGTAGACCTCGAAAAGTCTTTTCCAAAGAAAAGCATGGTCTGACTGGGGGAAGGGATGGTGATATTGGTGCATATGGGCTATGTCTTTAGTTGTGTTCTGCAGTGGCCTTCGCGTCACAACCTCCAGACCAACCCAACATTGCCTTTGGCTGGGGTAATTTTGCATGACTGGGTCTCAGTTCAAACAATGTGAGTGCACATGGAAGGTGTCAAGGTTCACAGTAAATGTGGTGAGCCTCGAGCCAAGAAATGCAAGCATTTCAACACCCTATGATGATTGATCCATTTAGCCTATACTAAATGCAAAGAAAAGTTGATTTGACAGTTGATTTGTAACCCCGGTATCATACGCATTTCTGGACTCAGACAGGTGGACAGGGAAAAACAGCAAAGGATGCCGCTTTGCTGCAGCTCTGCTGCGCCTACTTTGAGACGTGAGACTGTCAACCGTCAGTCGTCCCACCTGGACGGCAACGACTCAGAGCAACAACGCAAAGCACTGAGAACGTACGACTCGGGCAATGGCCTCAGTGCATTGGCTACGTTGGTCGACAACTGTCGGTGTTGTGTGGCCTTGATCTTGGACACCTCGGTCGCTCCACCCGATGCACGCTGCTTGTGACACTTCAGGCACATGACACTTCAGGACGGAGCCTCCGCGATGCGGTGGGATCCAAGTTCCACTCCAGCTTTGCAAAGCTTGGCAAAGTTTTCATCGACCTGCCAAGTGAAGCTTGATTGCACACGACTCTTCGAATGAAGGGACCTCAAACACTTCTCTTCGAATGTATTTCATGAAATGTCGCAGGTCACACCACAAGAATCAAACCTTGATTGATTCGATAGATTTATAAGGATATGTACGTTACATTGTCATTGATAGCAAGTGTAGTGTGATGAACTGAAGGCTGTTCTTCAACAACTGCACCAGCGCGAACTTCCTGACCGAAGCTTGCAAACTTGTGCAGGCGATACGGCCAAACGATTCTCACGATCCTCTTTGGCCTGCACAAATCACGAGCAGCATGGGTCTTCTTGGATTTGCGTTTGAATGCACACGTTGACACCCTGGAAACCATGAGCGCTATACAATCTGCATCGCACCCACTACAAGAATGAGCCTGAGCATCAAGATTTGAATGATTTGTGACCATCCGGACACCTTGACCAGAAGTGTGCCTGGCAGAGCATGCGCAGCGAAATTAGGCCATTTAGCAACACTGATCGAACGTGCAAGTTGGCCTCCCTTTCATCTCATGTTCTGTCTTTCGACGAGGGGACTTGTATCCGTCCTGTATCCACCACATCAACAACAGCAACAACAACAACAACATTGACTCTGCAAAATTGATTTTCCTGGATCATTGGCATTAGCAATGTATTTTAACAAGATGTCCTGCCCCTCACCAGCGTCACCGGTGATCGGATTGCGGCCTTAATAGAATCACGTCCCTACGAGCCCACACAGCTAAAAACATTAAAATTAAAGGCGCCACAATCAGGGTTGCAAACCATGACAAAAGGAGTTTTTGAAGGTAGTTCAGCGTTGAATGGCATCAAAACTAAGGGCAAAGCCCTGGTTTGGTGGACAAGACCTTGCAGCTCAATTGTCTGACAAACACATGCTCAAGACTGCCTCATGGTGGCATTTGCTTCTTCAAGCGCATTCCACCGTCCTTCAAAAAAGAGAACAATGTATTTTTGCCTCTAAAAAATGTTGCAAAATTGGCTTATAGACTTATACTTGAGGCCAAGGGGGGGGGCGAAAGCTAGCGCTCCAGAATGGGAAAGTGGAGGGCAGCGAGGTAGGAAAAAACACGGCGCTCTTTTTGGAGGCAGGGGTGAAGAGTCCTTTATATGTGGCTCTTTGCCCGGATCCTCCTGCGAGAGAAGAGAGAGAAGAGAGACGGAAAGACGAGAGACAGAGAGGAGAGAGAGAGAGAGGAGAGAGAGATGAGAGAGATGAGAAAGAGATGAGAGAGATGAGAGAGATGAGAGAGATGAGAGAGATGAGAGAGATGAGAGAGATGAGAGAGATGAGAGAGATGAGAGAGATGAGAGAGAGACAGTGAGACAGTGAGACAGTGAGACAGTGAGACAGTGAGACAGTGAGACAGTGAGACAGTGAGACAGTGAGAGTGAGCGAGTGCGGCCGCAAGATACGCAACGCTAACCGCATGCCAAAGAGCGACGACAGGACGGAGTCGAACTTGCGAAGAGGGAGGAGGGAGGGAGGGAGGGAAGGTGGGAGGAAGACAAGG